AATCCAGGTCATAGCTAAATTCCTTTGAAACTGGGATTTAAATTAAAAAAAAAAAAAAAAGAGTTTAGTCACTGTAAGAATTCTTTGTGCTGTTACATTTTTATAAGGTTAAAGCTAAAAATAAGATCAAAATCCTTTTGGAGGTTACATTAAAAAACAGACCAGGTGTGTTCAGAAACCCATCACACAAATGCCTGTTAAACAGATGCCAACCAATAAATTAATTAAAGCTACTCTCCTTTCGAACCAGAAAAGAGGAAAAAGCTGTTAGGGACATTTATGGGGTGACGTTCTCTTGACTGACAAGTTTTTCATGCTTGGCCTCTATTGTACAAAACTCTGATACTTCTCAAACATTTTCCAAAAGGAAAATGAAATCACTGTCTGTAGGGAAGAGAATTTAGTAACCTGTTTCTAGGCAGTCAGATTGATGCTAGAGACAGATGGCTGTTTATCAGTCATGAGAAGTGAAAAAGGAAAGAAGGTTTCAACACCGACCTGATGAAAATCCTTGCTAGTAACTCCTGCCATCACACTCAGAAAATCAGAACTTGCATGTGAAATATCTCACTCTCCTTTGTATGCTGCACTTCATTGTGACAATTAGCATCTGAGCTAGTCAAGTGAAGAAGTACCTTGTGCTGACCTTAAATCCTACCATACTTATAGGACTTGGAAAAATAAATAGAAAGAACTTTAAGGAACAATATATTGTCCCGAAAGGCTTTGCGATTCCTCGGAACATAAAGCTTCTCCACCACTTTAAGGACAAACAACATTCATTTCTACATTTCTTCTTCTAATTATACAAATTTAATTTTTTGTTTTTTGGAAACCACACAATTGCTGGAAAAAGGAATTAGTGGATGTAAGGGTTTATTAAACATGGCATTCACCCACTGCTCTTACACAGAAAAGGCAGCTCTGAAAAAACCAAAGCTGATTAATATGAAAGGCAGCTAACCTAAAAACTAAAACTTGAACTGAATGGTGTGTGCTAATCTTTCTCAAATACACTTATGAAAGCTAAATTTGCTGGTATTTGTCATTGCTATGCAGGTTAAGTGTTCATGTGAATGATATCTGCATGGTTCTGAGCAAACCAGTAAAAACCAAGGAATTTTGTCCTCTCTGGTAATTTTCTGAATCTCCTGTCCATCTATGGCTGCCTGAATAGAGAACACTTCACAATCCAGGGTCATTTGTGATAAACTTTGTTAGAAAGCCTCCATTCATTACTGGTAATTTCCTTAATCCTCAGGTTGCTTGTAAGGAAAAGATTGAAATTCTACGTTATATATTTACTCCACTGCGCCTACAAACAAAATAACTCAACATGTTAGCCACATTAATAAAATACTCACCAGATCAAACTCTTAATAGCCAGCCTCAGACTTGCCATTGTTTATTGCTGTTTGTTTGCCAGCCTATCTGGAGACATAGGGAAAATCTTAATAGCTCTGGCCACTCATTAGCAAAGTACCGTGGAGTCCTAATCCCATAAAGATATTAAACTATTTTTTCCTTACAATAGCCACAAGTGGAGGGAACTCTCTTTACTTATTAAGATGTAGTACATTCTTTGCATGTTGAGTTTCTTCTTATACTTTGAACTCTTATCCCCCATCATTCTGTTTCTGAGGCTGAGATCAAAGTAGATTGGCCTTACAGAGCTGCAGATGAGTGGCTGCCTTTCAGAGAATATTAATGCCCTCTTGAAGAGCAGGGCTGGGGAGGAGGTGCAGTCCCCTGGAGAGAGTGCCCTGAGCCCAGAAACACGGAACCAGCGCCGCAGCCGTGGGGACACAGCACGGCCTTGCCGAGGGGGAGCTGCTCACCCCAGTTTAGCTGTGTGGACAACTCTCAAAGCAATAGCGAGACCAAGTCTCTTTTGGAACTAGAGAATCACGTTAATGTAATTTCTGGTAGGCTGGCACAGACCAATTTGTTTTACAGCAGGAAAACACGTGACCAGTTTTGTATTTTACGTTGTAAAATTTTCTGGTCTTTCTTGTTCAGACTTTCGACTACTCCAGTTTTAGTTTTTACTTCTCACCACCTCACCTACTCAAGGGTTGGCGTTATTGATGAGCTTGTTGGCAGCACGCAAGACAGTGTCCCACTCCAATCTTCCACTTCCAGCAGGGATCCTGCCATACAGGCTTTCTTTTTTTGCCTTCAAATTTGCTTGCAAGCCTTTTAAAGGGGAATTACTTTAGACCTTGTTAAAGGTAAGAGTAAACATGCTAAGTACTAAGACATTCAGTGGGTATCATTATATGAAAAGAAGAAATGTTATATTCATTACAGAGGAAAATCTAGTAATAAAAAGTATTACCTGCATTTATAGCCCTTGTAACCTAATTTTTGTGACAAAGCAAAGAAGTAAAAACATTCCTTTCTGCCTTTCAGTGACCCCTATAAGAAACCCCCCATGGAGTCATTTAGGATAGTAATTTGAGTGAAAATATATGCAGCCTTTACTTTGCTTGCTCTTCTTAAATTAATAACCCTTACTAATAATTAATCCGAAAGTTTCTAAAGATATTTGCAAAAATGCCTTCAAATTAGTAAGCAATTAAAAGAAATAAAAACTTAAAAGACATTTTCCACAACATAAAAGAGTAACAGAACACGGAGCTGTGTTGTTCAAATGTTAAAACTGTACATAAAATACTCCTTCAATATACGCTGCCAGTAAAAACCAAGGCAAAGCAGGTCATTAAAATGTCATTGGGGCAGAGTGGAAAAAATGCTGTGTTTAAAAGTAAACATGTAGGCCTTTTATAATTATTTCCCCTTAAAGGTAACTGTTAAAAAAACCCAACAACAACAAGCGAACCAAACCAAACTAAAACTAAACCCCAAGCAAACAACTCTGCACCATCAGGATAAAGAGTCAAACCCTAGTCTTAGTCTCATTCCTAAGCTAACCTAAGGACTCTTTCTGAGTCTTTATGCAGCTGGATGGCAGCTTTGTTTGTGAAATGTCATTTTGCTTTCTCTAGTTTTTCTAAAACAAAACCAGAGTGATATGTTCATGCCATTGATACCAAATGTCATGTGTATGCTAAGGCTGAATAGGAATAAGAGGAACATTAGAGGAACATTGAGAGCTCCACGTGCTCAGGAGAACCCTTGGGAAGATGCTGAGGTGCCACACACAGCCTGGTGCTGATTTACAGACCCATATTCACTGTTGTGGTGATGTTATGTCCACATGCAGGATCTTTGCACTGCTGTAAAGAGCTCAGGCTAGAAAACCCCACCCAAACCCTTCTCCTTACAAGAATTTGCCCATTGAAACTGGCAGAAGATTCCATTAGGAAAAAGGAGATGCTGTGGTAGTCACTGGGGAGCTGGAAGGCACGCTAGTGCCCTTTACTTGAATTAATTAGTTTTGCAGTCCAACACCAATGAACCAAGACAGGAAAAAGAAAACCAAAGTCTGTATCTTCAGATATGAATTATGTTGCAGTACTGGAAATAAAAGGGTTGTATACTGGTGTCACTTTTCCTACTTCCAAACTTTTTGAGCCAGTAACAAAGACCAATATTCTTCTGACTCTTCAGTCACATTCCCGGTTTGTTTCCCTTCTACTGGAAAAATGTGCATCATGGACCTGAATAAAAATATTTCCATCTCATTAATTTTGTATATTTTCAGCAACGTGTCTGCATATGAACTCATTTTACTATCCGCACTGAGCTAATTCCTAAACTGTGTCTAAAAGGTGGCAATGCACTAGTAACAACTCTGTCCAGCAGGCACGATTCCACATTAGTTGGGCTAGTGTACATCTGAACGCCACCGCTGATGTACACAGTTATCCCAGATTAACTTCAGTTTTACAAAAGTAGCTGGCTCATAAAAGACAGATAAATTTAATGATTTAAAAATAAAAAGGTTGTACCCTCAGGCAGCGTCTGGGACTCCCACTGAAGTCCATGAAGGAATACAGGTAACTTATTTTGTCCTCTAACATCTCTGTTCCCTAAAGCTAACAAACACCACCACTGAAAGTACAGGTTGTCACATTTACAATCAGCAATTAAAACCAACATTCTTCTGGTTTCCATCTGATAAGAGCAGAGCTCAAAGTGGAGAGACAATGGAGAAACACATAATAGCACCAACAAATTCAACTTGTATTTAACTAGTCATTTTTCTTTAAATTTGCTTCTGCAATGCAAATATTTGTAAGTTGGGGAGAAAGCCTGTAATCAGGTTTGAGAAATGCTATACTCATAAAACACAGATCACGGGAGAATATCAACCTTCATACTTAGTCTTTCCTTTTCTATTTTCTGGTATTTTATGTATTATAATCAAACATATCAGGAGGAGACAGAGCAGTGGACCAAATTTTAGACTGGCATAATTGACTCAGCAGAAAAACAAAGACTTACACCTTTAGACAGCTGTGATTCCATGACTGTTAACAACAGGTCTGTCATGACCGATAATTCCTCATTAGTATGATCACTAATTCTTAGTCATAGGCTTACAGTGGCAATGAAACCAGCAAAATCATACTGTACATGACTTTTTTTTTGATAGTTCTACGTTTTTCATTCTGTGATTAAAATGATGAAAAATATTTAAACAGGATTAAAATAAGATGTTGGAAAGTTGGTTTCTAGTCACATGTAAAGCTTTCAAGTAAAAAGCCAAAATTTTTTTAAAACCAATTTTGAACAAACTTTAGACCAATCCAATACATTATTTCATTGAACAATTTTGATCCAGTCATAGGAGCCTAAAGCCAGGCTGAATGCACCATGGAACCCATGCCTTGTGACCTATGGCTTTACTGAAGGCAGTACACTGTGACCCTGGAGGGCTGGTACTTAATTACAATGGTAGGTTTGAACCCCATTTTTTTTCTTATTGTCTACAAGTATTCAGGATGATAATCCCATTTTAAAAAGATTTTCTAGTCTCATGGCACTTCTGGAATTTCTAATTTCCTTAAAGGTAAACAAAAATGTTACTTTTACCTGTATTCTTTATGCAGAATCAGCTACTACCAATGGGAATTCCAGAGCTGGGAGAGAGGTTTCATTTTGAGTTCTTCAACCTAGATAAAAAAGAATGAAATAACTTTCTCAAAAAATACCAGCAGTTCATTGTGAGATGTCAAAAGCTCGTTCTTTTCTGATTTATTACATAACTACTTTTACTGTCTTCCTGGCCACAGTCTAAAACCAGCAGCCAATTCTCCATTACCAAACTACCAAAAAAAATGCAGTTTGAAAGTACAAATTTGATATTTTATACATTTTAAGATCTTCAAAAAGACTTATATCATAGATCTTCTGAATTCCTGTGCCATATTCCAAGAAAATTCCTTAGAAAGATGCTTTTCATGAGCATTTGGCTTTGATTGCTCAGGAGTTTAAGGAAATTGGTCTTTATGCTCTACTTGCAGAGCACAGGCAAGTTGCATTGAGTCCTCATTCCTCCAATACCTAATTTCTAGCTATCAAGCAGGAAAAACCTCCAGAAACACCACCTACATACATATTTTGATATTTAAGTTAATTATGATAAACATAATATTAAATTTAAGTTTATTATGATAAACATAATATTAAACACCACCCACCATCCACAAACAGTCTTCCTTCAGGGTTCCAATCTCCTGTAATTTAGCCTGAGTATGAGCTAGAACAAGTCACAGACATCAAGCTATTTTGATGTTCTTGCAATTTCAGAGGGTTTTTTTAGAGAGTTAATCAACAAAGTCTCTAAGACTCTTCTTCTGAAACTACCATTTCCCAGAAGTCCTTATTCACATTCTCAGTTCTGGTCAACTCTAAAGACTGTGGGCCTGTTTTGTAAAAAAATTGATGGTTTGCCTTTTACTCCAATTGTTATTGCTACTCCAGCAAAGAATCACACCTACCTTGCCAGCAAATTTTTTTCACCAGTGTTGCCCCCTGTGCTGAAGCAGAAGGGCAGACATTCCTGTGCTAAAAAAACAAGGAGGGGAAAGAATAAAACTAAGTATCAGCTGTTGGACCAGAGAGTGGGCAGGGAACAGGCTGTGGGCAGGGAAAGCTGCAGCATAGGAAGGCAGTGCAAGGCACCTGTGCTCAGTAACCTTTTAACCCAAGCAGAGCCCATCTGCCCCCAGCTGCACATGATCTGGCTGATTTTCCTCAGTTACAGAAGAGGATAGATCAGGAATAGTTCAAATGAACTGGTCAGCCAGTTGCAAGTTTCTACCAAAGGATGGTGATAAAACATTTTCAATCAGAACAGCTGCTTCTAGATGTGATGTTTGGCATTAAGAAAAGACGACCTGAGCCAACCCAGGCTGCCTGCTGTATTTTAGAAAATGTGCATGATTACTTGGGCCAGAGGACATGGGGCATTATATCTCTACAATACAAGATATGAGTTGTTCATGGAAATATCTTTAACTGGCACAGATATACCTGAAAAACTGGGTGATTCACACCTTTACTTTCTCTTCTGCATTAACTCAGTCATTCTGTTACTCCATGCTGGAGTCAACAGATCTTACAAAGCAGTCCTGGATCCTGCAAGTTGCTCAATACATTTAAAAGCTGTGCTGAGATGCAGATCTGTAGATGCCTTCCACTTGTTTCTTGGCCTGAGATTTGGAGAGCACTTTCTAAAAACCAGAAGGATCTGATTTACCTTCATTTATGTTGTCATTACAGCCCTGCAGTCTGAAATCAGTGTTTCGAGGCAATGGTTAGAAATCTAGCAGCATTTCTGTATGAGCTGTCATCACCATCTGCACCACCATTGACTTTTTCTTAACTGATCCAGCTGAAAAAGAAAGAAAAAAATTGTAAGATCAGTTTGAGTCCAATTCCCTGCGCCTGTGCAAACGCTTCTCTTGGAACAGGGCAGGAAAAGCAGCAGGGGCCAAAGCTGCTGCAGAAATGCAAGTGTAGCCACATTCCTTGATATTTGCGTAGATGGCCAGACTGACTTAGAATAAAACGTTTTTAGGTGGGTTCTAATCTTTTTTATAATCATCAATTTTGCCACAGTGCACACAGAACCCATCCGCAGATCTGGTGTTTTTCCCGTGGATTTGTTCACACAATACTTTATGTTGGCAGCTCATTTCTGTCTTAGTCATGTTTTCGTTTTTTTTTTCCTTAGCAGATGTTTACAATTACTGCTTAAAATGTTTCCATTTTCTGTGATCATTGAATGTGAATGAGGTGACATTTTTAAAAATAATTGGAGCTTTTTCTGGCCAGAAACCATGTTGTTAGATTCAAATAGTCTTTGTCTTTTAAACTGTGGTAAAGGTCTTATATCTTTGTAACAACAGCATCTGCACTACTTTGCCTATTCCTTTTTTGCCAAAATCAAAGTGTTATTTGTCATTATCTGACTGTATCTTCTGTCTGGCAATCAGATGTTGTACATCTTCTTATTTAACCTTAAAGACACGAGGTCTACTCTCCTGAATTTGTGTGGAAGGACTGCAGAACAAATGGTACTACAGCAGCCTGAGCTTCTGAAACGCAAAGGAAGTTTTCTCTGCTTTTCTTCCAGTCGTTTTTTTTCATTTGTTTTTATTGACTTCAATTTAGATCAAAGTTCTCACAAATAATTGCCATGTTTCCAACACCTGCAATTACGTTGCAAAGTTTGAAATGCTTTAGACCTTCTTCAGGAGCCCATTTCTGGGAGTCTTACAGATTTTTGAGAAAACTCAGCTGTTTCTTCTTTTTTCTTCTTTTGTTTTGAAAAATAAGATTTCAATTTGCAGAAAAAGTATAAGAATGTGCCATAAATTTGTCATAAAGGCTTGAACAAGAGTGCCACGTATTTTAAAAGATTGCCTTTTTTTTTTTTTCAATGCAGTCTCGTGACTTTTGGAGTGCTGACTCACGATTTTTGCATGCTTGACATCAGCAATACCACAACTGAGAGAAAATCTTTGTGAAAGATTCCTTTCTAGTCCTCTTGAGACAAAGGGATCCTCCAGGAAAAGACACAGAGAAACAACTGTTTCTTATTCATTATAGTTCTCAGTTAAAAACAAGCTCAAACCCCAACATTAAAGCAAACAATCTAAAATATCTGCCAAACCATTCCTCTTTTTTAGTTTCACCATAAAGACTCAAAAAAGGCATTAGCACATTTTTTTCTTTTCCTTGGTAGGATTATAAAATCATATAATGTATGAAAGTGAAACTTCTAGTATAATTTAATATTTTTCAATAAACAGCTTCTTTTAACATTCCAGATTTCTCTCTCTTGTCAAGCAAGAAGTCTGGCATTAGGGACAGACCATGACTTTTCATTAGCGATCATATGTTATTTTTAATTATACAGTGTATTTTTTTTAGCTTCCATAAAAAAATGTAATGATTTTATGATGATATTCCTTCAGTTAATTAAAAAATGTTTTAGTTTACTAGAAAAAAAGTATTCTGAAACATGGAAAAATGGAGCCCTTTTTCTCTTAAATGAAAATTTTTGCCCATAGTTCATGTACTTTCACTGCAGTGTGCTGGTTAATCCATGACCTCAAGCTTCTACTTGTGAAGAACAATTACAAATATTCCTTAGTCCTAATAATACATAAGGTGGTTATCATTAACCCTACTGATACCAGTAGTGGAGGGAATATTACACTAAGAGTAAAAATTTGATTCTGGAACTGGCTGGCTTGGCAGCCAAAGCTGGACTCCCTTATTGAGTAAAACTTCCTATTAATTTCAAATAGTTTTTTTACATTAAGACTTGAGGATAAATTGCTTGGAGGCTCGATAAAAATGGTCAGTATGTGCCTGTATTAGAATAAGTATTTGGGTATAAACTCCTTCAGAGGCAAATCAGGTCAAAGGATGATTTACAAAACTGTCATTGTCATATGGCATTAATTTGATAGCTCATTTCAACCAACAGTTGGACTTGCTGTTTCTCTTGCATTCACCAGACTTTTTAATTAATTATGCAAAGCTGAAAGCAAACAGACAAAATTAGACTGAAAAGTAAAACTGCACTCCAGTAAAGGTACACATTATCCAGCTAAATTCACACTATAACTGAATCTAGATCTGTATTGTGCTATGAATTACTGAATTACATCATCAGAATCATCATTCATAGAGGGCTGCTCAGCACAGAATATGAAACCTCCAGCACCACAGATCACTCCTTTTTTCTACCCATTTGTTCTACATGAACATGAACAAGAACATTATCACCACTGCTAAACGCTTCTAATATTTCTAACATCATTACTATTACAGAAGTACTATTATTTCATCACCATTACTTTTTCAGAATAATGAAATCATAGACAATTTAAGTACTTTGGTCACAAATTTGGATCTCCTGAATAGAGATTACAAAATATATTATTTGATCTGTGCTGCACCAGTCCTTTAGCTGATCACAAAACTCCTGCTGGTTCTCTAAACATCAATAAGCATAACTAATTTAAGAATTCCAGAGCATCACTTCATAACTATTTCTTAATAATAGTATCCCATATTTATAGCAACTCTTTGTAACCCCTGATTTACCCAGAAACTCTTTTTTTATATTTTAAATTCAGCCTTTATAAATTATAGCATATTTTTATTTTATCTCAGTGGAGATATATTTAATAGAAAATATTCCTACATTTTTATGCTCTCATTTGGACAGGTGGAATTTGGACACCACAAGCTTCAAATATATTAATACTAAGTAAAGGGCTTCCCCTCCCCACACATGCACAGTGTTGATGTGTTACTTGATCAGGATGGGGGAAAAAGAGTTGTCTAGAGCATTTCAGCTCTCCTAATGTGGCTCAATCTTGCCTATATGAGATCATCTCTTTTGGGACTGCTCTCCCCCAGAATCAAAATTCTCAAGTCATCAGCCTTTCCTTTCTTCCTACCAAAAAGAAAAAAAAAACAACAAAAACCACCAAAAACCACCCAAAACCCAAAAAACCAAATCAACCAAACAAATAAACAACAAAAAAAAACCCCAAAAAAACCCCAAAATAAAACAAAACAAAAACTTTCAAGTCTTCAGCTCAGCTCAGCTTCTACTTAGGCTTAATAATTCATCACTCAATTAATGTACAAAATCTCAAAGGGAGGAGCAATTATTTCTGTGTATGTATGACTTGGTTAAAAAATGCAAGGATTATCTACAAGTTTAGTACCATTTCTGGAAAGGACTCTGAAATCAGGATAAACCTGGTATTAAAAATAAATTTGTAATATGAGTTCTTGGCTACACAGATGGCTGTGGATACAGGGTGGTATGGACTGAAAGGACTGTTTGTTGACTGTTTCTCTCTGACACAGTATATGAATCCCATTCTGAGGTGGTCTGCTGGTTGCCTGCAGTGCAGGAGAAAATACTGTTTCCCTTTTGATGTATAATTTGGCTTCTGTTTTTTGCTTTGCTTTCCTTAGAGCACTGACAACTGAACACGGCTGGAGCTGGTAGAGGATGTCAGACTGAGATGCTGTTGCTCTTACTCTACAGAGTACCCAACCGGGGTGCCTTCCTCATATCAAATCAAGCTTCAGATGTGAGGTCAATGAAGCATTTTCCCCAAATGAGATTGGTGCTAACCATTAGATGGGTTTTTTTTTGAATTATCTAAAATAATTTGAGAATTTTGACACCATACCCCCCCTCAACCTATATGTGAATGAATCCAAGAGCAAAATATTTAGGAAATGAGTTCTTATTTACCAAGATGAAGTAAAAAAGTTCTCTTTCTGTCCTCATAAAATTTGTCAAAGTTCTATAAGCAGAGTTATTTATGATATTATGATTTAAAGTAAAATCTGTGCAACATTCTAAAGAATGTAATATGGTCAATTATTTCATCATATTATCATAGCTGCCAAACTATCAAGATAATTTCAAAAAGTCCTGTAGTTATAATACCACATTTCTAAGCAAGTATCAACTGAATAAATGTCTGTGTAGCAGTGCACATGTATATAATTATAAATATGAGTAACTCCATCACTCAGTGACTGAACACAGTGCACTTCAACTCATTATTTACAGCTAACCTGTTTGGCCAGCATTTGTTTGGACAAAAGTCCCCAGTGTTGCTGAGTGATGTCCAAACTTGACCTATCTTTCATTGGAAAAAGCAACATCAAATTGATAGACCGACACAAATGTGACTGTTTAGATAAGCTGAAAAAGAGCAAAAACTGATGTCAATCTCTTGCACTAATTTAGATTTCCAGTTTCATTCATATGTTAATATAGACACAAAAATTAGGATTACAGGGGCCACAGGAAGCCCTCTGGTCCAGACTCTACCACTTCTGAATGTTCCCTTCCAGGATTTTTCCAACAGTAATTCTGCAACAGCAAGCAATGTCCTTTTTTCACACAGGCAGCCCTTTGGACAAAATTCCCCATAACTGAAAAAACCATTATGCTACTATTGCTCAAAGAACCTGTAAAGGGTTTCTTATTGCTACGTTTTTTGAGGGGGTCTACAAAAACCACTGTGGTTAAAAATGTACCCTGGCCTACAGTGTGGGACAGTTTGCTTCTGGTCAGCTGGGCTGGAATGAGTGACAACATCTAAGATTACAGTCCCTGTTTCCTACTTGCTGCCTTTTGAGCATTATGATGAAATGACAAATTAGTGCAGCTCCTGAAGTCACCAAAGTTGATGTAACCAGCTTTTCATGCAGGGACAAGAGAAAATTCATCATGACTTCTTTTCCCCACATAAGATTACATGATGCTTCCCATTCAACACACTCTAATTTACACTCATATCTCTTTTTCTATATAAAGTCACGAACAAAAGAAGTTGG